TCTAGTTGTTTATAGGTGGGATTCAAGGTTCTCTGAAGTAAAGTTATATAAGCTTTAGCAGACCACCAAATGAATTCTGTTGTCTCGATTTTTTGTCTTTCTGGAGATCTTAGAAAAAAAGCTAAAAAATGTTACTTATAATGTATCAAGACTATATATTTTTATTTTAAAAATTGTAAACTTTGTCTCTGTTCAGAAATGATACAATGGTTAAGTTTTCTAATGGTACCTACCTCCACCCCCGGCTTAACTAACCGACCATGTGTTTGCACATGTAAACAAAAATTAATCAGCTGATCACGTTTTGGTGCACTTTAAGCTCTTTGAAGAGGTTCAAGAGGACTTGAAAGCACTCAAAGTGTGCCAAAACGTGATTAGCTGATTAACTTATGTTTACATGTGCGAACACGTGGTTGGTGAGTTAAGCCAAGGGGCAGGTACCAACTCAAAACTTAACCAAGGTATTATTTTCAAACAGATCCATTACATAGCTACTAGATGCATTAGTTAAAACACTTCACGAATTAAATCAGGAAAACTAATAAAATCAGGAACAATAAAATGCTTTAAGACCTCTCTGTTAACGTACTATTTGGACGTTATTTATTAGAAAGTTAAAAAACAAAGTCATCTTAAAGATTTCTTATACGATTCCAGTCTGTGTAATACGTTTAGTTTTCAGTAGTGTGGAAGCGTTACGAGATAACTTTTTGAAGCAGATATGGCCCCAGTAGCTTCTTTAGTCCTATTCTACAAATATACTAAAAAGTATAAGACAAAATAAACTTGATGTTTCAAAACCATCTAAGATTATTGTTAATAAGTCACTTTTAAAGCATTGCAATAAATTTTTTTAACATGGCTTCTAAACCATTTGATCACTGATAAGTTTCTAAGAGATGTGAACTAAATTTGTAGAAGCTGGGTCTCAAACAGAAAAGTCATGTGTTTCCAAGCCACGAATCTTTAAAAACTGAAGCTTGATATATTTAAGTGTTTTCTACATTAACAGCTAACAGTATTTGGCGTTAAAAAAAAGATTCCCTGCATATTAAAAGACTTTAATATGTAAAAAAATCAAAGACTACATACTTAAAACTATATTTAATCATTATGTTTTTTCATAACTCTGTACTTCATGCATTGGAAACAAGAGTAAGTTTGATATAAAAATGATGTTTATATAAAATTCTATTAATCAACATCTCTACATAAAAATATTATTGTTATTGACAATGCTCATTACAGAAAGTACTGAGTGTATGAGTTATGTGAGAAGCATGGCCATCAACAAACAAAAATACCTAATTCTGCATAGAACTAATCGTTTCAACAATATTTTTAACAAGATAAAAAATAATAAAAATCTTTTATGCTAAGACTTTGAATCTCTACCTTAAATCCAAAAATATCTCTTTCCACGTGAAAACTTGTTTTCATGTGATAATTATTAAAATATTGAAAAAAAAAAAAAAAAAAATGGGTACCTCGTAAGACGTACCACAAAAGTGAGTACTATGGGAATAATTGAAATACAAATGGATCAACAGATAGAGCGAGAGATTGCAATTAAAATAATGTGAGGTTAGAAGTTCTTGGTAATTTACGCAATAAAAAAAAAACGAATCTGAACACAAAATAAAATAGCTTTTTTATAATCATGTTCATTGATGTGTGTTTTACACATTGTATAGTACTTTTACTGTTGCCATGATGGTCTAGTATTGTGATAAGCATATTGGCATAATGCTCATTGACAATGAAATTGCTTACAAAAATTGCACGCCTGCGCGAACACATTTAACAAGATATGTTACGTTAATATAATTTTTACTAAGTGATTCAGAGTTTTTTCAATAGTTTTCAAAGTTAGTTTTGGGCAAAAAAGGACAGTATGTCCTGCATATTTGTAGGAGGTTAACGTATATACTTTTATTTTTCTTCAAATTTTGCACCTTTATATAATAAAGAAATATTAAAAATACTCATATTAGAGGTAATGTCGTATTATAACTCAACACGTCTCTATTTGTGTGCCGCGATTTTTTTTTTCCTTTTAAGATTTCTGTAGAAATCATTATTTTTGGAATCTTTGGCTTTTTTTGAAAGATATGGCGTATTTTGCAATATTTAAAGGTTATGTGCACGTATCATACAAAGCCACTGTGTTTGTATACCACAATAATTTAATTTTTTTTAGAAAACCTATAAAATTTGATACTTTTTCGTTATCTTGCTTTTCTTAAAAAATATGGCGTATTACTAATATTCAAAGCGCATGTTATGTTATGAAGACCCGCTTAATCAATACAGGCTATCTGCATCAACTAGCCCTATATGCAAAAATTATTTGTTAATGCATTTTATTAAAATAATAATATTAACTAGATGATATCGTAATAATATTAATTACTCTATTTTAAACATATGCACACAGGCGAACATATACACACTTGCACAGTAGAAATAGACAGTGCACATACACTCATTATGCATGCACACTTTCTTCGTTCCATTTATAATTCTGGTCTGTAGTGTCTGTATACTAGTTACCCACCTATACATACGTGCAAATGTACATGCACATTGCACATAGTAACACACCACGACACAGCAATAGGGGTATAACAATAATATCACATGCTGACTATGTATATGTAGCTGAATTCAAAGCCAAACGATAAAACTCTCGCACTAGATTTCTAACTATGCGCACGTGATAAAGTTCTTACTTTAAAAACTTTACAAGGTTACTTCAAAATAGAATTTCTTACAGTAAGATCAAAAATTGCTATAACCAATGGAAATACCAATAAATTGTTTAAACGTGTATTCTGATAAGTTATCCAGAAATTGCGTTAATTTTGTTTCTTATCTTATACACAACAGTAAAATTTTTGAAAGTTTTTTTAAAATTTTATTTACTGGCATTCTTAGCAACTTACATAGGGTATGTGTCCCAATTATGGCCCCTTTAAGTGAAGTTAGAGGTTCAATTGAATTTTATACGTACAAGTCGATAAATTAAAACGATGAAAACGTAATGCATAGATAATTCAACCTTTTTTTTACAAAATACACTTTTTTCAATATAAAAAAATTATTTTTNTTCTTGTTCATCAGTCTGATCTTCACATGCATGAGTCTGCTGGTTTTCTGATCTAATATATATTTTTGATACATCAATATTTTGCATGCAAAAGGGATGCAAGCCACAAACCTTGAAGGCATTACTTAAAATTGATTTTAAATTCATTTTTGAAAATACTTGGCTAAGCAGCATAGCTACATCATGCTTGGGTACACTCAGTGCATTTTTTTCAATTCTATAGTTATTTACAGCTTTTTTCCAATAACTTCTAAATGGAGAAAAGAAACCAACATCCATTGGTTGAGTAATGTGAGTTGTGTTTGGTAAAAGTGCTATGAGAATAATTCCATGCTCATTACAGAAAGTACTGAGTGTATGAGTTATGTGAGAAGCATGGCCATCAACAAACAACAAAACTGGTAAAGCAATTTGTGACTCTACAAGAAAAGGATAAAACTTGTTTGCCACATACTCATAAAAAATCTGCGAAGACATCCAACCTGATTCTGAATTTGCAACAACAAAGTCTTTTGGAAGACTTTCATATACATGACTAGGTACTCTCTGATACTTAAAAAGAATAAGTGTAGGAGCAATTATTCCAGCAGCACTGGCAGTGACTAGCACAGTAAGATTTTCTTTTTCATTGTAATTTACTACCTTGTATACATTTTTGCTACCTTTGGCTGCTAAAACCTTACCACCTTTTGGGTTCAACATTACAGATGTTTCATCAGTGTTGAACACTCTAGAACCATCTACTATATTCTGCAATCCTAAGTTGTCCAAATACTTGGCAATATTTTCATGCCAATTTTTCAATGAATCTTCAGTTACTGTGGCTCTGGCAAGTGAAACATTTTCACTCCATCTCTGTTTTAAGTTTGGATGTCTCTTTTTAAATCCTTCAAACCAATGACGTCCAGGTCTATTATCAGTGAAAGGATTTTCCTTTTTTTTAGATTTCAGAAGCATAGCAACACTGTCAAGTAACTGATCTTTTGTAATGGGACATCCCAGTGACACCATTTCAAATATCCAATTTACGAGAATTTAAGACATTGTTGATGGACATTTCGGTTGGATCTTTCTTTTTTTCTTTGAGTTAGCCTGCTCCATTGGCCAAAAAAAAAAATTTTCTTATCATTACTACAATCAGCAATTAAAGATTGATTTTCACTTGTTCCTCCTACTGTATAATTTTCTGCACTGGCAGGTGACTTGTAATTCTGGTCAGGTACAGTGTGACTTTTTTCATCGAAGGATGATTGCATATGTGGATCAGGTACTGCGGCATTTGTTTCATCGATGAGTAAAAGCTCATTTGGATGCGAAGCTGCAGTACTTGTTCCATCGAATACTGGTTGCTCATATGGATCAGGTACTGCAGAACTTGTTTCATCGATGAGTAAGAG